ATACTTAAAAGATATTTACTGAAAAAAATTTTGAAACTCTTGAAAAGTTTTGTCTGCTGAGTTATAGTAAAAATAAATGATTCATTCCTTTACTTTAGTTACACTATTTTCAAACAGATATTTAAAAATTTATTTCAGATTGAGATGGCACATTTACATCAGAAAAGAATAAATCTTCATTGAGCCGAAGAAAAAAAAACAGTCGATTATAACCAAATCTATTAGATTAAGGAATGTTGAATCTAATTATCTGACTGTAATCGTTTGTCCTCATTTCATCAATCTAGACAGATTGACATATAAGCAACGAGTAGTACATTACTTTTTTTGCCTTTCTTTTTGCATTATTAAACTTCTTCGATTTTATTAATCAAAATTTATTGCACCTTAATTAAAAACTGTCTGCAAGGGTTTTTATATGTCCTTTACAAGAAAATGATAATTATTTTCTGATGACTCATGTATTTATCGATTTCAATTAACAATAAATAAATAAATATGATAATTCACCATTTTATAGTAGAGATTTCAAATCATTCCATATTCTCTAACAAAATCAAAACCATTTTAATTAATCAAATGCAACGAAAAGCTATTGGTAGAGAAATCGCTTTTATGGCTTACTATTTTTATATATTTCATATGTAATGCATATATGATTTCATTTGATTTACTTTAGAATCAATTCGATTTTATTTGTAGTTATCAAAAACAAGTAAAAAATATCTTGCATGACTATCATTGTCAACTTTAATAAAAGATACACACATCAAATAAAAGGATTCAGTCTAATTTTAAAAATACGAGCTTCTCAACTGTACTGTCAAGGTAACTTTTTCAATAATAGACTTTAGGTCAAATCATAACGAAAAAGATAGTAAATGATAACATATTCAGCTCTCTTCATATGTATAGGCAAGTACTACCTAGAAAAAGAAAAAGAATCAGCAAATCAGAACAGTCTTTTTCTAATGATATTGTTGATCAAGAGCATAGGTGAATCATTTGATGAGGGAAAAAAATGAAATATTACTGTAATAAATAAAGCTGAAAAAAATATCTACTTAGTCATAGAAAAAATAAAAATAACAAATTATGTATTCATTGGTACGTTGATAAATATTACGGTTGCTTTATATTATTTACCTGATCAACAGGTGAATACAAACGTTTTTTTTCATTAGCGAAACATTTTAAATGTTTTACAAGCTGAGTAAAGTTAATGCTAGATCTAAGTTTATTTAATTTGAAAAAAATAAAACTAAAAAACGTTCGGTTAATGAAAAAAGCTTATATTCACTTTTTTGATCAGATACATAGTATAAAGTAAATAGAACACGTCTCTACCTATCTACCAATGATTAAGCTACTCCGACTGTGTGTTTCTTTTATCAAAATAACTGAAGTAAAACGAGTATCTGATCTATTGTACTATTATTTTAACTTCATTACTATTCGTTTCGGCTGTCACTTGTACCTCCGTCAACCAGCCAAACAAGAATATACCAATAAAAGCATTATAAATTATTAACAACTACATTTTAAAAAAATTGATATTGCATATGGAACTTACGATATATATTCTAACAATTATGGTAATGATTATGAATATTATTTAAATCATAATAGTAAAAGACAAAATTATTCCAATAATCAGATCAATATCGATTATTAAACGAATAGTTTTAAAAAATATTAGAACACGACATAATGTTTGAAGTGAAGGAAACATATAAGCATGTGAGCTCTTTCTTGACTACTAGTTCTTATTTAAAAGATATCATATTGAAAATGGTTGTTCAACAAATGAGGCTTAGAAGAAAGACAATATTTGGCGATACATTTATCTCAAGAGAAAATTAGTTTATCCTTAATTCGTACATTGTTTAATTATTGATGCAAATAACATTCGAGATTTTATATAATATTATGCAAACCAAAGACCAGCGAACATTGAGACAAGTATATTTGTGTATCTTGGTTTATTTTCTGCATTTGTGATTTTGTTGTTATCAAAGGAAAAAAAATAACTGGATATATTATACTTACGATTAAACTTGTCATCTAAACATGAGAAAAAGTATTTTGAATATCCGTTATCGGTGAAGAATTTCTAGTTCCGTGAGTAGTACAAAACTACTAATCCATTTTGTCTTTGAATTTGAATAAACTTAATTATTAAGCGAACAAATATTTTATCCAATAACCAGTAAGACGTCAATTAATCTGAGTAGCAAGATCATTAATGATTTTTTTTTGAAAATGTTAGACTAGAGAATGGCATAAACAACATGAATGTCCTAGACATTATTCTATATCTTTTAATAAGTGAGAAACAGCTGATTCTATGACTCCACTAACTCTATGTACTTGAAAGGAATCAATGAAACCCATGGAATCACATGAGTCAGTGAAGTAAATACACTCATTTGTTTCTCCTTTTCTCTCATGGCAGCACTCTAAGCAAGTACATTTGGTTGCTAATACTGATTCTCATGTATTCTCGATTAGGAGCAGTAGGTTACCGTTATGCTAACAAGATATTGGTGATGGAAAAGTTACAGTATATCAATCAAAGAGACACAGAGAACACGAAGAAAGCATCAGGTCTAGTAACTGTTGATAACGGTAACATGTAGCTTATTGAAGAGGAATCTGAATCTCACATCCAACGATTATGAATATTTCTTTGTTTGATTTTCAGTTAAGCGAGTAGAATTCAGTGAGGAGGTTCCTGAATCCGATTGGTTCTGCATCTGAGGCATATCTTGGCGAGCGTTACTCGAAAAGTAAGAACCAATTATAACTTAACTGATGGTGTCACTATCAAGATTCGGCGAGAAATGTGAAGGGGATATTAGTTATCGAATTTAGATAATAGCATAGTATCTCGTACCTTCGAAGTGACTATTAATATGGATTGAAAAATTTCATTGAAAGTATTACAAGTAAACTTCGAGTCAGGATCCTCGTCTAAGAAATGTTCTATAAACAGGATTCAGATTCGAAATTGCTGGACTTCGAGGGCTTGACAAGGCGTCTATTTTGAGGAAGTAATATTTTTTTTTATAAAGTTTGATCCAAGATTTTCGAGATCCAGGAATTGAATGGGTCTATCGTTTTTTGAAGAGTTTCGAATATATTTTTCTACAGACTAGGAAGTTATTTTGAGATAATAAGGATTTTTTTAAATAAAACGTAGCTAAGAGCAGGTGACTTGCAGTGATCGAAATATATGAGATGCTTTCTTAACATTTTTAATATAAATTTTTCAATGATGAATGTCTATAAATAATCGTTATTTTCTCAGAATAGGTCTTCCATTGGTGAGAAAGTAAAGTCAAAGATTGTTAAAAGCTGACGATCAGATTCAGTTTCTTGACTCTAAAAACTTTTCATTGAATTTTCTAAAAAAAAAATGATATTTTCTCAAAAAAAAGCCTTCATTGACTGAGTAAACCGAAGTTGAAAATTTTAAAAGACATTTTATAGAATTTATTCCACATCCAGTGGTTAGAAATTGTGGTTGCCAATAGTTATTATACCAGATGTTAGTTACTTGTACTCATTTCCATGGTAACCGAACAACGTTTTTGTTACCAATATTAGACAACGGGTAAGATTTCCTTTACCCAGTAGCTGGCGAATTTTCTGTTAGTAGTTATCTCGTAATATCACTGTTCAATGACGGTAGCCTTTTATTCCTACTCCAGGTAGTTCCGAGCAAACCCTAACAAAGTAGAGTCAAGATGGTGTCATTCAGATTCACTACCATATGCTTAGAGCTATTTGGAGTCGATTATAATTAATGCAAGAGAGAACCAGTTGACATCATTGATTCCACAAACTCCATTCGTTTGATTGAAATTCATAGAATCAATAGAGTTACTTGGAGATATGGTATCACTTGTTTCCCCTTGATCTTTTAGTATTTAATTAAACTAATATGAATTAAACCTCATAAAGAATGCACAAGACATGTCTCAGTTAAACTTACAATAAGTGATAAACATCAAAAATTTAGATACTTCAAAGGAATGAAAATCCCATTTTAATAAGAATATCTTATAATTATAGAGTAGGTAACTTCCTGTTTTTTCTATAGGTAGCAAAAGATGAAAATGTAAGAAAAGGACATCAACTAGGGTGTTAATAATTTCACATATGTACAGTAATAGCAAGTTGTTATCATTAGTTCTTAGAATAAAACCATAGATTCTTTCCTATTTATATAGGTATGTTCTGTATTTTTGGGATATCCTATACTTCATCTTCTTCATATTCATCGGCAAAAAAGTCAATAATGATTTATTCGTCGTCAACGTCTCTATTTTCGAGTGTTATTTGTGGAAACACTAAAATCGTCACTATTATTTGGCTCACCAATTGGTCAAAAAATGAATCGTTTCTATTGAATATATTCATTTACCTCATATTAACAAGCAACTCATGCATTATTTGAATAAGGCGACTCTTGTTCATCACATTGAACACAATCACTACTAACTGTTGTTATGCACACAGAACTAAATTACCATGCAGACATGTATACTTATATGCATGCACATAAAGGCATCGTGTGCTATTTATCTTGAACATTTAACAAGAATCTTTTACGTGAAAAGAATGCATAATCTTACCTGAATTCTAAGAAATTTCAAATTCTTCGTTTTCTTGATTGATCAGTCCAGATTATTGTCACATTGAACTTACGGCAAGAATAAATTTTTCTTTTCTCCCATAAACAACTTGTCTGAACTTCAAGACGACAAGAATTTTGGTTAATCAATCAAGAAAAACGAATATATGAAAAGAATAGACTTCACAATGTCGATCCATGTTATTGACCAAAGTTGGTTTTATGAAATAGGTGAAAATTATTAGCAGCAAGACACAATAGATTTTCAAAGAATCATATAATCTAGAATGAAGAAATTTTCTACTTATTTTTTTTTTTCAAATCAAATTTTTTCTCTTGTTTTTATTTGCATATATTTCAGATGGAAAACTACTCATTACGATTTAAAATTATCTCATTTAAAGATTCTGTTAAGAACAAATTGGATGATACATTATTTTACATTAAAAAATTTGTAGAATTACCAACAGAATATGGTAAAAGATTACTTGATACTATTGCTAACATTATAAGTTACAATAGGTTTAGAATTGTTGTAAAGAAAGATTTCTTCTTTACAAAAAAAAATCAAACTTTTTTTTATTGATCGAAATTTTTAAAAGTTAATTTTATGTATCAGAAAAAAGAAAAAAAAATTTCTTCTCTTATTGAATAAAAATCTTTATATTAATAGGTGATACAATTAAACTTGAACAAAATCAAATTACACCACCAATGGTTATTTCTATAAAAGAAACATTCGATTGGAAGATAAATGACGGAAAATATTGTCAAATTATTTGTTTAACTCCAAAATCAAAAATCATAGCTGATACTGTTTTATGGTTTGATGGCTTATTACATCTTATTAATGATCCTAGATATAATGAAAGAGTTCATTCAGAATTACTTTGTAGTGTAAGATTTATTCTTTGATTCGAAAAACAAATTTCTTTCTTTTTTTGGAATATTTAGATGATCCTTAGAGAAGAATATGGTTTTGAATTTAGTCTTCAACCGATTGAAATTTCAGAATCTGTAATCTCTTCTTGTAAATTGAAAATTCTCAAATTTTTTTTTTCTTTATATCAATTTTCTTTTTTTTGATTAGCACGTTTTGCAAGAAAAAATTATTCTCATAGTAAAAAACCAAGTCAAGAATTAATTCTAGGTCATTCAATGGAAATAAAACAATTTATGCATCCAGTTCATTGTGCTGTATGTCAGGGATTCATATGGTACTTTTCTTTGTTTTCATTTTTTAAAATCAATTGTCTTTTTTTATTTCCAGGGGTGTACATCATCAAGGTTTTGAATGTTCTCAATGTTCTCTTGTAGCACATAAAAAATGTCGTCAAGATATTAAGTTTTGGTGTCAAAAATCATCAAATCCAGTATGTATTATTTTTTTTATGTAAAATAAAATAAAATAAAAAAAAATCTTTATTAACCAAAAATAAGGAGTCTATTGAATAAGATGAAAGCCTTCGATTAAGTAATCGGTCTCGGAAAAATCGCTAATTTGAGAAAAATTTCATTCCGACATTTATATATATATTCTGGTAGTCTTTCTTATTGGACTTACGTTGGCATAATTTCTTGTGTCAACAGAAGAAGATTAGATTTTTTTCTGACGAGGTCTTTTGGGAGATCTTCTAGCTAAAGAATATGAACTTGCATTATATGAAAGCTTGTGTAGCTTTATAGCATAAAGATTAATTTCATATAGGTTTTGACGACATTCAATTGATTGCGTATATTCGGAGTGTGTAAGTATGGGCTATGAGTGAAATACAGGCGTCGTCCTCATCCACACCCCACATCACATCCATGTATAAGAAACTATGACCATAATTTTGGCATAATATGTACTTCTAAGAACCATATAATATATCCCTATATACGTCATCTAATAAAGCTTGATGAATTATGCGAAAATATTAGATAACATAAACAGACTGATTCCGGAATAGAGGTATTTACTACATCACAAACATTATTTTTCTTTTTTCTCAAAATCAATTTCTTTCGAATATATCGTTTAGACAGGCAAATTTTTCCTAATAACGATTCAATATAAGTGTAGTAAGTTTTCTCTATTACACAGTAGACAGTTAGGACTAGGTCTAAATAGAGCCTGATTTTTGAATTTCTCTTTTGTTCGAATAAAAAGTTTAAATCTTTGATTTTAATTAGTGATTTTTTTTGACAACGAATTTAAGAATCTCTCGCAAAAACCTTTTTAAAGAAACAAATTAAGGGAAATTCAAAAATCACCCTTTCTACAACCTAGTCCTAAGTGTACTCTAGAACTACTGGCAGTATAGTTTTTTTCTAGTGTGGCCTGGTCTGTCGGTCGTTCTTGGCCTAGCTCGAAATGTCTGCAGGCCAAACCAGGTTCACTGATGCCTGTAATTTGTGAATATGTTTCATTCTAGAATTCTGCGTTAATGTATCATTCTAGTTTCAGTTGTTCATTTAATTTATTTGTGTAAAGATAAGGTAATAACAAGTCCTGGTACGAAATAGCAAATTAAAACGGAGATATAGTAATTATAAAGATTTTTCATTTGAGAGAGGCTTCAATTAGCACGATGTGTTTGATCATATCCGCTCTGTTTCGTATCATCAAAAAAACGTAATCATAATAACTAAAACAAAATAAGACGAGACGTACAACTCAGAGGTCAAAGGAAGCATATAATGAACATGTACGAAATAAGTGATACTTTTACATGTGAGAATCATTTTTTGCAACAGTACGATTGCAAAATTTACTATTCAATCGTTTTGAATTAAAAAGAGCTCTTCTGTCAGTGAATGTAAGTCCTACAACACTAAATTGATGTTCGGTTCAAGTATTTGTTATTAGAATCGAATGAATTTGTTAACGTACTCTTGAATAAAAAGGCGATGCATCAGCAGCATTTTATTTTCAAAACTTAATAACCAGGTCAACAACTTTGACCTGGTCTGCTAGCCAGACTGTATGTTGTAAGAACGAATTAGGACAGGCTAAAATTAAAAAAATTGATCTGGCAGGGCGGGCATCTGCCAGACAGCAGACCAGGCGGGCAGCTCTGATGTACTCGACAATTTAAAAACTACTCCGTTATGTGAGCTCGTATCATCGGTTTGAAAGTCTTGCTTATGTAACGGGTACTTTTGACCAATGAATTGAGTATAACTCTTCAATACGTAATTAGGGGATTTGGATGATATGTTTTAAACATAATCTATTCTAGCTAAGACTAACATTCTCTGGATTTTTCAATTGAAACTGAATTGAAAATAAAGTTTATGTTTTAGGCGGATTTCAGCATAGACTCTGATCGTCAACATATATTCAAAGAATATGAAGCAGCATTTGTTCGAGCTTTTGTTAGTCGTAACCATAGTTATTGTAGTCATTGTGGTGCACAAATATTTCGAAATGGTCTCAAATGTAAACGTAAGATAAAGAAAAGCATAATTTTTCAATATCATGTTATAACTAATAACTCGTACTTATAACAAAATATATAAATAAGAATGATTATATATTTTTCATGCTTCATTAAATTTAAAAATAATAATCTTCAATAGAAATACTAATTTATGCCTTTTTTTCTGTGGAACTCACATTATGTTTTTCGAAGAAGAATCTAGAGTGTAAGTTTTAAGTCGAGATTTTACGGCTCTTCGCCTCCTTTACTTTCTACATAGCAAATAGAATGACGCTAAAGATCAACGATCATTTTCTACGTTCCCCTGGCGCGCAGTGGAGATGAGGCTAGCGAAGGTAAACGGTCATCGAATATGTTTCCATAGCAACTTAGGACAACAAGTGTTGAACTCTTTTCCCAGAGTTTCTTTATTGATGGAAAAAAGTTTCGAATCGCATTAACAACAAGATTTAGACCGTTCTATAGAATTTCAAGAATATTCCAAATTCTGCCTTGAAATTCGAATGGTTAGAATAAGTTTGTCAATGTTCTAAATAGTGCAGTTTTTGATTACTGTGCAGATAAAAAATTTACAGTGAAGATGCCAAGAATGATGGATAGTGACGCTTTGATTTACCACGATCGTCTTATGGTCAGCATTAATAGCGTGAACTGATCAAGCTATTACTTTGGAAAATGATTGATATCAGTGTTTGTGAGTTTATCAAGATATGTAGTATTGCTCTGAGATCTGCTGTAAATGTAACGAATATGTGCAACGCGCTTATTTGCCAGTTAAATCAATCGTCAGAATAATAATAATGTAAAATTAAGGAAAATAGAATACAAAAAAGGAAAAGTAACGAGTGATTAGCAACAAGACAAACATAGAATAGAGCGCCACTAAAAAAAGAAAAAAAAATCCATCCGAAATTTTGAAATGAATTAGATAGGTGGTTTCTCAGACGATCGATTATACCCGAAGAACAACTATAGCCTGTTAGAAGCTTTTCACTTGAGGGGACCTTCATTTCCCGATCCCAAATTTTCAGTTTTTCATTCTTCATTTTTTTGTTCGGTATGTAGACTTAAATGTCTTCTATCTAATGAGCACATTTGAGGAAGGGAAAATCACATTTTTTTATGTTAAAAGCTTGAAAAAAACCTGAATTTTACGTTTAAAAAGCCAAAAAGTTCAAGTTTCTTCGCGATTTTCTCAAAATCAGATTTTCAAACGAAAACTTGAAGTTTCATCCTCTTTTCTCCTAGACGGTTCGGCCGATTGAGCTCAAACTTTCTTTTGTAAGTACTTCGATCAATTTGGAGTGCGTGTTCTTTTTTCCCTTGAAGATATCGTACCTATCAAGTTTTACAGATTTTACAATATTAGTCCTATTCGAGAACATGCTGTTTTCAATGTTTTGTTTGATGGTGCCTCCAATTTTTTGCTTCTCTTGAGCTTCAAGAACAATATATTTTCGAAGAAAAAAACAATGCGCACCTATACTTGTTCCTAGTTGCTATAGAAACATTTCAGTCCTAAAAAGCATAGTGTGGAGGTTTTGCGGGAGAGGGTAGGAGAGAATTTCAAGTCATTTTTTATCCTTGATCTCCCAAGCTCCTCTAGAAGAAAGGATTTTGGAATTTTGAGTCTATGGCAACTTTTATTCTACTCGTCGAGATCTATCTACCCTGAAAGTTTCAAGAATTTTCGCCTAACCTTTCTCGAGAAACCTCGGAAATGGGGGAGGGGAGGGGCATGATCCCCTTATCTTTTTCTTCGTCAGTATAATGGGACTAAAGGATACATCTGAGTGTCTACATTTTAGCCCTAAAGAAGCTGAAATGACAAGCTTTTTTATTTCGTAAATAAGACAGAAAATTAAAAATAATTATTTTATTTTAGGATGTAGTCTTATAATTCATGAACGCTGTCGATCAAAGGTTCCACCAGTGTGTATAACTTCAAATGAGCCACCACTAGATACAACTGCGACATATCGACATGTAATAGGTGCACGTTTTCATGGTGAAAAAATCAAAAAAAATCGTCAACATTCACAATCATCATCATTTGATTTATCTTGGCTTGATCCATTACCAAAACTTTCCATAAAAGATCAACAAAGAATATTGTTACCAAAATTTAATGATTTTAAATTTATTGGTCGTCTTGGTGATGGTGCTACTGGTCAAGTCTATTGTGTTCAACATAATTTATCAAAACAATACTTTGCTGTTAAAGTAGCTAATGGAGCAAATGAAGAAACACGACAACAATTAGAAGTTGAAAGACACATTTTATTTCGTTATAGTGATGGAAATCCTTATATTATTAAAGCTTATTGTGCATTTCATCAAGGAGTAAATTTGAATTTATTTTAAATTTATAAGAAAAAAAAATAACTTTTTTTTATTTTAGACTAAATTATTTCTTGTTATGGAACTTATTCAAGGCGGAACTTTATATCATAAAATTCAAACAACACGAATGAATGAAGATGAAATAAGATATTATTTAGCACAACTTGTTTGTGTTATACAATATTTACATTCAAACAGCATAATTTATCGGTAATTTTAAAAAATGAATATTTTTTAAATATTCTTTTTAAAACCATTTAGTGATTTAAAACTTGAACATGCAATGATTTCTTCAACGGGTTCTATACGTCTTGTTGATTTTGGCCTTGGACGATTACTAAAAACTCCTGATGAAATTTGTCATACCATGTGTGGTACTCCTAGTTACATGGCTCCTGAAGTAAACTTTTTTCACGTTTAAAACAAAAAAAACGTTATCGAACGATATTTTATAGGTTCGGCGTTTAGAAGATGGTTCATCAAATGAAGGCTATAGTTATGCAATTGATTTTTGGACACTTGGAATTATGTTTGTACAAATGTTATGTCATGATCAAATCGATTTTACTCCTTTATTTTCAAATAATAATGAAGACACAATTGAACCAAAAAAAATAACAGAATATTTAGAATTACCTCGTTATATAAGTCTTGAAGCTCATTCATGTGTTGTTGGTTTACTTGAATATGATCCTGAAAAACGTTTAGGTTCACCTGATTCACCACATGGTTCGATACGTGATCATCCATTTTTTAAAGTTGGTCATCGAATTAATTGGTCAGAAATTGATGGAGATTTATTTAAACCTGGTCATAGAAATTCAGAAGTAAACAAAGAAAACTAAAAGACTTCTTTCGTTATAAAATCTTCTTATTTTTCATTTAGAATATACGTATTGTACCTTCTACATCGATTAATGAACAACTTTCGGATTTACAAATGGATAGAGGACGTCGTGCTAAAGACGATTGGATAGCTGCTGGAGAATCAACATGTACATCAGATGAAAATGAACGATTGAAATTATTTGATTACATTAATGAATCGTCTTGGCGTGAATTTATTTCATCGAATGTTTTATGAAAGCTTATTTTCAAAAATAACAATAGTTTCTTTGTTTTTTTGCATACTAACAATCGTTTATTTTCTTTACATTTTTTTCCAACGTCTTAATAATAGATGTTTCTCGAAGTGTGGTGTAATATTGATTTTGTGTTGCACACATCCATATACGATGTTGTAGTGTATATTAAACTAGCCATAGCATTTCTTTCATTGTGCATGATTCAGTTTTAAGTTCAAGTTTGTGAAGATTAAATCGATTTAATATTGACAAGAGAAGAGTTGAAGTTTTGTTAGTAGGACAATGTGCTTCTCTCCAATTGTGATCACTAATGATGTGATTGTTGGTGTTATGTTCGAATGTAAAATTTTACTTAGATCATCTTCATCGATTCCCAAAAGATTTAATGAGAGACTAATCAAGTAAATAAGATCAATGTTGAAGAATGAAGAACAAAGTCTAATTTCGTCTAATGTCTTATTTTCATCAGAAATCGTCAACGAAAGAATATTTTCGGGTAGAGTAAATCCACAAATATGATGGAAATCATATTTTGAAATTGAACGAAAATTGAGTTGAGAATGATTGTAGATATTGGATATTATTCGAAGATTTCTAGATACATTAGAGAATAATAGAAAAATAGTTGATATATTAACAAAAGTCAATAATATGATACAAAACAGAGGATCTCAATCAACCGCACTCAGCCCGATCCGACACCTGGAGCGAAACGTTTTTGAATAGAAAATTATGGATTAGGCCGAGCTGATTCGAAATTGCGGCAGGCACCCTTTGACCAAACCTTGAATAAAATGTAAAATTGTCGTTACCTTAAAAAACTTTCTTTATATTCAACATTATGTTCTTATCTAGCTCTCCTTGTTAATCAACAATTACAACATGATCATCAATTACTTTTTCTAATTCTAATCCTACTGGACCTTTTCAATCATCATTTTTTCATTAATACTTTTTCTTCAACTATCGGTGCTGGTTTATCATCAGATACAAAACAGGATACATCCAAACAGATCAAATCCCTCTTGAAACAGCCACCATCGACATATGCTTTTACTAAAAATGAAAAAGCAAACGAATCTTGATGTTCGAAATTTTTTGGGTTTTCTAAATAAAAAGTTGGAAAATACAGCTCAATTCAAGAGAATTGAAAGCTTTACAAGTAGTAAAATATGTTATCAAACATTTGTTTATATATTTACTGCTGTATTCGAAATACGTTTGTTGATTGATGTGTTAATAATTTATTCAATGCAATTAGATGAATGACCCCTGGATGGGCCATGTCAAAGAAGAAACGATGAATCAAGCCGGATCAAAGATTGATAATCTATGGGACAGCTTTCTTCGGTTTGACCCGGCCCATTCAGACTTCTGATACCCAGTGATACAATGTATTCATGATCATGACATTTTCATATGCAGTAGAATACTTCTTCAGTGACATTTGTTTTTCTCATAAGAAAAACAGCGTATCTCAAAAAGAAAGAGGAAAAGATTAATGTTTTCTCTTCTTTTTTTGTATATAACAAGCCATATAAAAAAAAAAATAAGCAATCAGCTATCTCAGTTTGTTGAATTATCTATTGCATTATGTCTGTTGTTTAGTGCTCATACTCAAAATTATAAATTCTTATATTTTTTTGTTCTTTCTCGATTATGATATTAAAAGAGACTAAATAAGTTTTCATGAACTAACTATAGGCATATTTATATATGAATCTCTAGAAGAAAAATTACTGTCAAAGTCGAATGAAGCATATTTGATATAAGTAAATTTTTCAGTCGATATTTGATGATACATATTAGTGATGTATCAACATAGTCTATTGTATTGATAATTCTGTATAGTTGCCTGTAATTTGAATTCTTGAAGTAGTACAAGTTTAACTGTATCAACTCTTCTTATAATAGTGACGTAATTCCAATAGTAGGAACAATTCTGATTTAATATAGAATTTCTCATTTAATATGAAATAAAATCCTGAAAATTTTAGTGATTTAGATAGACTTTTTCTAGAAGTATTAGATCGGTATGCTGAAATCTTATAGAAAATTGATCTTTATAAAAAAAATATAATTTTCTAAACCTTGTGATTAATGATAATATAGCTAAAAAATTGAATGACGATCTCAAAATAAACGGAAGTAATTTTCTGATCTAATTGTTGTTCTATAAAAATGATTTAATAGTGATTATTTTAATAATTTATAGGAGCTATTATAATATGAATTACGATGAATATCATATAATGGAATCAAAGAAGAAACGGAATAAAATTTATTGTCCTTTGTTCAAGAAAATTAGATCATTTGGCATTCAGTTGGAAAACAGCATAATATAACTTTTGAGGATTAGCCGATGAACTTTGATCATATTCAAGTGTAGCTTTAAGTCGAAAACCAGCATTCTCTAACTTATGCTGCCATTCAGCACGTGTTCGATATTGAATTGACTTCGTATATTGAATGATTTTAAATTTTTGTTGTACCCAGTCAGTCGTATCATTCACAGAATTGTCATCAGATTCGATTTCGCTTTGGTTCAAATGGTTTCCACGTACACCAGCAAATTCACCAACACGTGCAATCATCATGAAGGCATGAATAAAATTTAGATACTTGGCTGTAAGTGAGTACGTCTTTTTGCAATCATGCTCGCGCATAATAAGATAACCACCTGGTCGTAAAATACGAACAAATTCCGGAAGTATCAAATCTAATTGAGGAACATGATGAAGAACGACGAAACATGTTATGAGATCAACACGATTATCAGCTAGGAAGACAATAAAAGATATCAGCATAGAACAATTAATCAATATCGTCAAATTGTTTCAAACATGCGTAAAGTTTTCTTTCTTATTTGTATACGCAAATCCTTTTCTTTCTCTAAATTATCCAAAGAGAACTCCTTGCTTTATCATTTGTCATTTTAGCAAATAAAATACTGATGAATCAATTATAGAAGATGATGAAATGTAAGACTTTAAATAAATAAAAGAGAAAATTACCAAGATCGATGGTCGATTGATTTAAGTTAACATTTACGAATGTCACATTATCATTATGACTATCATAGTCAGTTCCACCAAAAATATTTTCTTTACTTAAATTCAAATACTTGCCAATCTCAGCCGTAGTCGAACCATCACGACAAATCATATCAAAATATGCATTAATAGATGCACGACTAATAATCTCTTTTACATCAAATGGTGATGATATCTTCAAGGCACCAAGTGATGATGGATTAGCATGATTAAATTCAAACATAGTCTTGATTTCAACTGAACGATGATCAGGTCGACTTTGAAATTGCCAATCTCGAAGTGAATTTGCAGCACCTAAGAAATAGATATTCGTATTAAAAGATTTTTATCTCTTGATAAATAAACCAGGTTGTTTCTCGAGTTCTTTGACTATTTTATACAGTTGATCGAGTTCACATGACTTATTATATTCCACTCTTAGTGGAGCCAACGTCCGACGTAGATTATATTTTTGTCCATAGATTTTACCGATATATGCAATCAACTGATACCGATGTTTCTCACTTGTCCATAAAGAAGAGCCATCATTTCGTGAATCCATCCAACGCTCGAAGTCTTCAGATCCAGCCGAGCACTCTGTAAAAAATGATTTGTATAAAATAATTGATATTGACTTATTTAATTACCTTTTGAAACTGAAATAAATACTGTTAAGAATTGCAACAAATAAACATACTTATCCAGTATCAATACAATGACAATGATTATATAGTAGCTTATGAGTTGTTACTAATCAACATAAATTTATCAGTAGAAGCTTAGTGACTCATTGATGTGTATAAGTTACTGTCATCGTTCATTCCTCTTGAAAAGCAGAAATAGATCTGCAGTAATACTAGCATGTATTCGATTCGATTTTTTTTTACTAATTTCATTTTTATACCTATTGAATAGAAACTTTGAAAATTTTCGCTATCTTAGGGAAATCTACCATAGTGGACACTTCGCGGTATGACGAAATGATTTTTGCTAGAATTGAGTCTCTCTATAGTGGATATCGTCATATAGTTCTATAGTAAATACTTTTGAAAAATCTCAATGATGTTCGCGATCCAAAAAATTTTACTATATTTTAACAATTGTTAATTTTTCAAGAACAAAAATGCATGAAAAGACAAGTAATAATGAGTAATAACTAGTTTTTTATTCACTAACACCTCTCAGATACTTAGAAAACGCGTCTGTTTCTTGTAAAAAACTGCATTTAGAAAAGACTCAGTATCATTATAATGAACTTTTTTTGAAAAGTCCGAACGGTGTCTGCTATAAAGAAGTTATACTGTAGTTTGATGTCGTGAGTTTTAATTGAATTTTCTTAATTTTGAAGTGTTTTAGTATAAAATCTTGTTACCTTAGTTTTTTTTATTTTGATGATTTTATTTAAATCAAAATGACCATAATCTTACCATTCTTAGAAGAGTCATTTGAACATTCTGTTGACCGGATAGTTTTACGATTATGTGTGAAATTTTCTGATGAAGAAAATGAAGAATATTCTGCGTTATTCTTCGATTCATTCACTAAAATAACATTTTTTCGATTAAGTATTGCTGATTAATAAAGCAACTTACTTTTTTCTTTGCTTTCTGTATACTTTGTTGTATCTTGATCTTTTATGACATTATGAAATTCTTTACTTGAAATAGTCGATTGTACTATGTCTAAAATATATAACAATAAGTTTATGCTTATTTATACTATAATAGAAATCATAAGCATTGCGAATTTGTCTCACTACTCTTGCTAGTTACTGATGTTGATGTTGTACTTGTATTATCTTCTAATTAAGAAAAAAAGAAAATGAAATTTTTGTTTGAACTTTCTCATTGATAAATTTGATCTTTGAAACAAATATACTTACTAGTAATTATTTCAGATTTATTCTGGTTTTCATGAATACTTTCTTTATCCGCTATATTAGAATTTGAAGTCATTTGGGTTTTATTTATTTCATCACTGCTTTGCAAATCCAATAACTGTTCTTTGTCTACATGAATTTTTTTAGACTCTTAAAAAGAATATGTACTTTTTTGACTTCATTGAACCGAAATAAATTATTACCTATTTGCAAAGTTTTATCAAGTTCTTCCTTTTCACCATTAGTGTTGGTCTTATAAGCAACTTTATCTTCGGATCTAATGTTTGGTGTCAAATTCTTAATGGGTAATAAAACTAAGTGTTTATCTTTTCTGGATCAAATAATTACCTGAATTTGATTCTCCATATTTTCTTTGACATTAGTCGTTATTATGGACTCCATTGTTCTTTCTTTTGAGTTATGACACTGCAAATCTAACAAAAAACAAAAAAGAATGAGAATATTGATAAACAATACAATTCGGATTTATTGAAATGCGATCTATTCAAACGAACAAATTCTTTCCAAAAGATTGAATCTTTTTTTAACTCAATTATCATGCTAATCAATCATTAAACAAAATTTTTATTTAATAACGAATCATATCTGTTTACCTTGATTTTAAAGAACTATCAGAAATATTCATCGTCTGGTCTCTTCCAAATTTTGATAAAATTTTTGTTAGCATCGAATTACACGAACATATACAAAAAAAAACTTATTAGAGAAGCCTCTTTGGAGCTAAAATGTGAAACTCACATGAATTTTTTGGTCTCATTCTAATAATATAAAATATGTTAAGTGAACAATATCTATCAGACTATAGTTGTTTTCCATTTTCGTATCCCACTTTTATTAATTTAACGTTATTATTATTTTAGTTATTGATTTAACTGGCAAATAAACCTGTTGTAAATATCCTTGACATCTTGAATATTATTTTCATCTGTATAAAAATAAAAAGTTGCACTATGTAGAACATTGACCGATGTATTTCAGTCACCGAAATTTCAAGGAAGGCTTTAGAATGTTCTAGAACAGTCCAAGTCTTGTTGTTAATACCGTCCAGAGCTGTTCCCCATTGCTAAGGAACTGTAAGAAAGGAATCTGATGTCTATTGTCCTGGATTGCTACGGAAACTTATCCAATAATCTTTGACTTTCGCTCTCCAGTTGCAAGATTCTAGTGAGGGCAACCGCGAAGATCTTGCTTAAAACGTACACTGACTGATTTTCTTCGAAAATATATTTCAGTTCCATAAAATCAAAACTACGTTCATTCAATCTTTGTATTAAAAAGTGCATATTAGAAATATTTTTTGAAATCATAAACATGCAAACTCAGATTTCGATATACTTAAACTAATATTGGATCATATAAAAGAATACTTTATACGAAGGAATAAGATACCAGAGAAAAAATATATTTTTTCCTTTAGATTCACAAGACAATAGATTTCAAAAACCCTTGTGTATTATGTAAAATATATATTGGGTGTTGATTGTATATTCACCTATCTATTGCAACTTATATTTTATATTTATTCTTCCTTTTAGAATATAAGATGATTGACATCAAATGTATTTTTAAAAGTGTATTTTTTCGCTTACTAATTACTTGATCCTCCAAATTTTTGATTTGAATTTTATGCTCTTTGAGTTGTTCTTCGAGTATTTCAATTCTATCTTGAAGTTGTTTGATTTGAATATTTTCATTTTTTAAGTGATTATTTATTAGTTCCTCAAGACTTGTAAGCCGACGATCGACTTCTTGATTTTCCATGTTTTTTTTTCCATGATTATTGATTGATGATTTGTTAGAATTATGATATGCTAACCCAAAATCATTTGGCACTGCATTTGCATATTTCAGATTTCTGCTACTAGCCATTTAGCTGATCTAGAATAAATCTCCTTATATTATTACCAAAAATCAAATCCATATAATCTATTGATCGAAATAAAAAATCCGCTGTACCATATAAAAGGCATAAATCATTTCTTAAGTTAAATTAATTTAAAAATTATCGTAGATTTTCTATTTGCAAATGAAATAAATCGATGTTAGCGATTT